GAAAGACAGACAGATAGATAGATAGATAGATAGATAGATAGATAGATAGATAGATAGATAGATAGACAGATAGATAGATAGATAGATAGATAGGGAGAGGGAGAGAGAGAAGAATATAAGAGTAAGAGACAGACAGACAGACAGACAGACAGACAGACAGACAGACAGACAGACTGACAGACAGACAGGCATCAACACGAACAACTATAACGCAAATTGGGAAAATAAAACGAGGAGCTCACGTGGTATATCAAAGCTCTGGTGCTTGAATATATTTATTGTCAATGTTAGAATGAGTAAATTGAAGACACGGTCTTATAGCAACATGTAACGACTTGGGACGCTCGCTGGATGCACGGACGATACAACCTACAACCAGCACGCACATACATACATGGTACATACGTCATTGTTATAACGAGCAGAACAAAATATGATGGGAGTTCTCTTACGTCAGCGAAGAGGGCAGGCTACTATTGCATGGAGATCTACTTCATCAAAATTATAAGCTCTCAGCTTATCTATTTTACTACTATTTTACTCTAACGCAAATAAAGGTCAAATATACAGTGAGTGGAGTCCACTCAAACTCAAACCAAAACCTGTGGGACTGCCGGATTTTCTTAGGTTTAGTGAGTTTTCATCTCAAAGAATTTGTTCAAACAGAAAATATCGGGGATTATATATATATTTTTTTCTTGTTCCTTTTTTGGTTGACTGCTGTTTTCGGATTAACTGTGTTCAGTTTAAGCGGACGCCACTGTATCTTCCTCAACACTATTAATATTAGGCTATTTAAGGGATGTGACCTCTAAGTTTAATTTTCATCTCCGAAAAGACTGAACCAAATAGGAAATTTGTGTAAACTGTTAAGTGCCTTTCCCGAGGACACAACGTCTGTCCACACACACCAGAAATCTTGAGTAGCTTCTGTTGGGACACATTATGATAGGAGAATTTCAAGATGAGCCAGATGGTAGATTAAATGAGAAAATGCAAGAGCTGTTCCAGTTATCATCCTATTTGTAAACAGATTTGGAAAAACATTAGTGGACGGGAGCGAAGAAATCATTTCAAGGACAGATGAAATCTTTTGTATGTAGAGAAGAAAGAATCTGACAAAGAGTTATGTCTTTATTTTCATGTGTCGCTTTTTCACATGGGTCAAGGGCACAACTAGAGTGTCTCTCGCGGTCAGTCTGGCTAGGATGAGATAGCAACCTGATCAAATAACAACTTTCTTTCTAATCTAGGTGGTTTAAAGCCCCCCATCAACACAATTTTGATAAAATAGGAGCTGGACTTCTGACCATGCCTGTTAGGACCAATCAGAGGGGGATACAGCATCCCAGCAGAAAGACCGAGATACTTGATGAAAATTCTTCCCACTCTGGAATTGAACTTGGGTTTCCAGCCTGCGGCAGCAAGAAGTGCGTAACCACAACACCACGGTTGAGAGATGAAAGCAGACAGATTATGTCCCTTTGACAGGCCACTATTATACATCTCACTACTACTGACCACACAGAAAATGCCTTGGTACCTTCTTTTAAACGGATAGACACAAACAGAATCTCCATCAAAAAGGCTCCCAAAAGGCATCAATTTGATACTTGACGTCTTTCCCAAAGACTACTCCAAGAGGTTGGCTGAACATGAATAATAAGGTCTTCACCTCTATATGGCCAATAAAGAACAAAGATTAGATGCTTTGAAAAAGTTTAGACCAATATTATAAGCTTTCACAATAAGTGACTAAATTATATTAATTAATTGAAAAACAGAGAATTTCAAAGCTAATTATCTTGAAAACCTTTCGCCCACTTGGAAACATATAGATTTATCCAAGGTACATTTAGATCTATTCAATGTACATCTATAGATCTATACATTGTAGGCCTACATCTATACAGATCTATGCACAGCACATCTATACAGACCTACAGATTGTACACCTATAGTTCTATAGGCCTACATTGTACATCCATATAATATATATATATATATAGATCTATAACATATGTAGATCTATATTTTATACATTGAAGATCTATATACAGTAGAACATGACCATAGTGGCATCCACTACAGCGGGACCATCCCTACAGCAGGACCTTACCGGAATCCCCCCCGTCCCCTTTTTTTTTTCTATGTTAACTCAATTACCTGTGCTCGGGTTTAGCGGGGCAAGGAAAAGCCCGCTCAAATACAGCGGGCGAGACCGCGCGAGCTCAGCTGGGGGTGGGGGGGAGGGGGGTTACGGGTGGGAGGCTGTAGGAAGGATCCAAACAAACAGGCAGTCAGCAGTGCGGCGTTGTGATTTGCCAGTCCAGTGATGAGAGAGGTTTGGCGGGTGGTAGAGAGAGATGGGGCCAAAAAGGAAAAGAAGAGGAGAGCGTGTAGTGTGTGATTCCTGATTCATTGAATTGCCATCGTTGATGCTCAAGCATACCCACACATCCACTTCACCAGTTCTACAGTAGGCCTACCAGTACAATAGATAGCACAAGCAACGAGACTGATGAAAAGACGACTTCCAACAAAGACAAAAGGAAATGCTTCTCACTTGAATTAAAGGCCGAGATAATCAACGAAGTTGAAGAGAATAGGAAGACTAATCTAAAGCGCAAATTTTATTGATTTGGAAGGGAGGTCATAATGTGGATTAATAATGTTTCTTCCAGAAACAAAAATCCCGCAATAGCTGTGTTCTACTGTATAAATCAGTACATTGTACATCTATAGGTCAATACATTGTAGATTTATATGAATCTATACATTGTATATCTAAATAGATCTATACATTGTAGATTTATATATAAATCTATAAATCTATACATTGTACATCTCTATAGATCTACACATTGTAGGAATTTATGGCGCACTCAGAAACAGGACTAGCCTGTTTGAGGAAATACAAATGAGAGTCAAATTTGACATAGACTCAAAGTAAAGGCAGGTTCCATGCTTTTGAGCATGATCATATTTCACGTTCATAATACATGTAAGTACAGGCGCTAGAATATCTTTACAACCATGACAACAACACTTTTGATAATTCTGTAATTTACACTTGCTTTCATGTAAGCAGCACTAGATTCCATCACAGGAAATGTTGCATGCATTCAGAACATTGGTCTAGTGACAAACATCGCAAACTTTTCTGATGCGGACATAAGTCATATATACCATGTAAGGACCAACTACCAGAGCAGGCTGAGCCACTAAAAGCATAAATAAATTTATTTGTCAGTTATATAAAATATGAAACACAGACATAACGACGAGCCATGCTGTAGGCCTACTGTAAAGCAACACAGTTGTTTGACACAGAAAACCTGCGTACAGAGAGCAGCATGTCAAAGAAACTACATGACTAAGACTTTGTACAGTACCGTAGCGAGTTTACATACAGATCTATCCACAAGTTGTTTACACAATAACATTCAGCTCCATCCACTCTCACAGTAACAGCTCTCTTCAATAAACTGAGCCTCGTAAATACTAGAATACGAAAAGAGAAAAATAATGACAAAGACACATTCTTTAGTTTTGCAACATTTTAAAAAAAATCCTCTGCCCATAATCCTTAAAAGAAAACAAACACTAGAGTTAGAACAGAGCAAAATAATGACAAAGACATATTCTTTAGCTTTATACATGATCAAAAACATTTTCCTGCCCACTATCCTCAAAATAAAAAGGGCCCCCAAAAAAGGAAACAAAAAAAAGACAAAAAAAAGGTACTAAACTGCAAATGGTAAACTTTAACCCTGATCTCACTGACCAACCCACATCAAATGGACCAATCGATACTGATATCTCACTGACCCCAGAAGACACAAACAGTCCATAATTTTTGTACACAAAGTAACGGTTGCATGTCAAGAAAAGAAAACATAGCAATCTACTGAGTAGAGAATCAACAAAATCCTGACATTTACACTTGCAGACAATTGTCACAACCGTCAGTGTCACATCACTGGCTTACTCTGAGATGGAAGGAAGTCATTTTGTACATGAGTTTGATTCTTTGTCAACAAGGAAACAAAATAAGCAGAGCAACACATAGAATTGCGGAGGGAGGGAGGGAGAGAGAGAGAGAGAGAGAGAGAGAGAGAGAGAGAGAGAGATGGTAAATGTATAGGTTCAATGCACCTATCAACACTGAGAGAGAGAGAGAGACAGAGAGACAGAGAGAGACAGAGAGTGAGAGAAAGAGATAGAGAGACACATAGACAGGCAGGGAAAAGGCAAGAGACAGAAAGACACTGAGACAGATAGACAGAGGCAAGTAATGATTAAAAATATTGCTGTAAAATTTCTGAATGGTTCAACATAACAAAGTAACTTTACTGTTGTTACTGGATAAGGCCCCGCACACATGTAAGTGAATGTGTCTGTGAAATCTGGTTTGTAACATGATAATGCTTGCAAATACAACAAAAGCAAAGGGAAATATTGCTCCCAATTCAGAAAAAAAAACCCTCTGCACTGTATCCATACTACGAACAGATAAAGAGTTCCACTCTAAAGAAAAACTGACATTGTCACATTTCTGAAAATTCTGATCTTCTGTAGCCCTTTCTGAAAGCAGAGAAAAAGAACGTGCTCATTCTGATGGGTACAAAACAACACATCCGCAGACACAAACACGATAAATTCTCTTAAAGGTACCAGATCATAATCCTCTGCACGACGAAAATCGAAAATTTTGTTGCAATGAGGAGCTTATGACTAGATCTAGAAACCTTTGGAAGGAGAGACAAAGAGTCAAACAGGGACTGTCTCTCCCAGCTCACATACATTCGCAGCTGATGGAAATGTCTGATGAAATAACTTTCCCACATGGAAATCAAACCTATCTCTTCTGCAAGTAATAGCGAAGAGGCTTCCCATTATACCACATGTGACAGTTTGAAATGTGTTTGGGTACTTGGATTGCCGAGTTATTTGTCTACTACTAAAAAAAAACAAAAGTTCCTCTTGTAATTTGGGACTTGAGGGACAGCCCAGTAAAGTGTGAGCTCAGGGACTGTCACAGTACAAGGACAACCAGGGTGTCAGTGACACACACACACTCACACAAACAAGCCAATACACACACACACACACCAGGCCTTCTGGAAACAGCTGGGATTGAGCAATATTAAAGAATCAATTGTTAATAACTTTTAGTTTTACAAAGACAATGAGGGAATGTTAGTAATGAGATTTTGTTGATTGCTGCAAGTGAGGTTTTTGTTTAAAAGTTCAGCTGCATTTCTGTCTGGGCCGTGACCTCCCACCTCTGAGAGACCTTGACCTACTTTGGTGGAACAGATGGCACAAAGACACCAAACGTGTCTCTCTGTCAGGACATAGTAGACGACAGTCCTGATGTTATGACACACTGTCACCGTGACCTATGACCCAATGAGGATGACAATACATGTGTACAATGGAGATGGTGGTGACAGAGTCATAACTATACAATAACACACAACCCTGACTTTCTCCTGGCAACATACACCTATAATCAGACAACATCCACCTTATGTTCACATAATGTCCACCCTTAAACTACACATCCATCCTATGTTCACACAACATCCACACGATGATTTTGTCCCACAGCCAGCCGTAATGCAGTGGGCAAAAATATATCAGAATGACAAGATATAGTCCCAGCCATGTGGGACACAAGCATGACCCCGTAAGGTCAAACTACGTCACCGTACAGTAGAATGCTCACTTTGTGTCTATGACGTCACAACAGCACAAAGTTTTAGCATGGATAGTCCTGACATAAATGTGACAAAACTGCGCCATGTAAGTAACACAATGCTGAGAAATTGGATCATTTCTCAGAAAAAAAAACCAACATGCGGACAGAAATTAACAAAGGAGTCAATTTCATTTCTCTATCCACAAAGAATTTGGTGAACATTTTTTTCCTTCTGATTAGAATTAACACATGAGACACAAACACCAAGAACTGCTGACACATCATCTGTTTATGTCTACCATCTCTCTGTGTCTATGATTTCTTTGAGTCTACATTTTACCTCTGTCTGTACAAAAAGTCTCCGATCTAACAATGTCCATGAGTTATCCATGTCTGTACAAACTGTCTCTGACATAATAATGTCCATGATTTATTTCTGTCTGTACAAATTGTCTACAAGGACCTGCTGAAGTCTGTCACAAAGTTGGAAGAAGAGAAGGGGCAGGCATGGGCGGAGAGGGTTGCCTATTTGACCGACTGGGTTATAACATGCTTGAGGTCCTGGGCTGCGTGTGACACAGCTATCACTTTGTTCACCATGTCCTGCACGGCTGGTACAGATGGGTATTGGAGGGCGGCTGTTTTCGTGGCGGTGACTGAGGCCTTCAGACAGTCACACAGGTTGTTGGCGCAGTGCATGATGCGAGTGCTGATGCTGTTGCTGATGAGGTTGCGGTGAATGCTGTCGCCGATGTACACCAGCTTGTGCGCCGACACAATGACAAACTTTCCATGGGATATAAATACATTGGGAGGCTGGTTGCTCCCCACCACACCGATGAAAGCGTCAATGGCATTGGCCAGCAGAGTGGAATGGGTGTTGATCTGGTCAGTGTAATAGGCCAGGACCTGACGATCGTTGGGGTCAAGAGGTTCCGGCTCGCCGGGTGTTTGGCTGGCCGAAGGAAGGATAAAGTTAGAAGCTTCCTCAGAACTTTCAACATTTACGGGAGTTTTCTGGTCCGATTCTGGAGATGTCGGCTCTGGCAAGTTATCTGAGTCGACACAACCCTCAGACTGAGCTGCTGCTGGGACTCTGTCCTCGGCAGAACTGTTGTTGAGTTCTCCCAAAGATGCCACATTTTCAGCAACAACCGGCTCGCCAGCGCCACTGTCTCTGACCGGCACCATGTCCACGTCTGCGTCATACACAGACAGACCAGCCAGGCGATTAGCCACATTACTCACACCTGTCTCCTCAACTTTGCTGTCCTCCTGTGAGTTCTTGTTGGTTGGGGTTCGAACCTCTTCCCCTGCCACAAGGCCATCTACAGAGTCTTCAGTATCGAGTCCTGTTGTCTTGGACTCGTCGGCGGGTGGTGGTGGCGGCGAGTCACGGGCGTCCAACTGTACGTAGTCGTATTCCTGGACACACTGCTCCATTACGTCCTTCAGGTCAGAGTCTGTGACCTCGGGAAGGTCGTCGCACTCGGCGTAGTCGTCTTTGTGCAACTCCGCCTTGATGTCGTACATAGACATTTTGGGTTTTGGGTACTGCACTGGCTGTGAGGATGAAGGCACGGAAGGGGAGTTGGGCTTCTCACTACCTGGAACGGCAGGAAGGGGGCGGTGCTGCATGTTCTTGGGCTTCACGTAACCAGACATGAGCCCTCCTCTCCCGCCACCTACCTCCCCAGCTTTTGGACCAATTGGAGGCTTAGACAACACTCCTGCTTTCTTGGAATCGACTCCAGGAGACTTTCGGAATATGAAGGAACTGTTGCCCTGGATGAAGGCAGAGACTTTCTTGACCTCTGGCATCAGGTCTTTGGCCACCAGCGCTATCTGTCCAAGGTCGTCAGACTTTGTCTTGTCCAGGGGCTCGGCCAGAAGAGAAACCTGCCACTTCATGTCTTCCAGGTTGGCGTAGGATCTCTTGACAAACTCCAGTGTGCTCTGTAGGGGGGACACCAGTTTGTTGAGGCGCATGGCCAGCTGCCGGTCAGCATACTTGGCCGCATTGGCCACCGCCCCGTGAGAGAAACTGACATAGTCGTGTAACGAGTTCTTGACAAGAGAACAAGACACTTTAATGTCGTACAGCGTCTTCTCTAGACTGGCGCGTGACCGCCATGAGCCATTGACAAAGCCAGCCAGGCGTCCGGTAGCTTTGTTGACGTCCTGTTGTCGTTTGACCAGAACCTCCAGGGCCGAGTCTACATCCAGGAGAAGCTCATCCCAGAGAGGAAGCTCCGACAGGTGCTGTTCAAGGTCAAGGCTGGAGGAGGAAAATCGTTGGTTCTCATCCGAAGAGTCAGATCTCATGGAGATAACGGAATCTCTGGTGACCTGTGGGGGGATGTCGTACACGCCTGAGGGGTCGTTGATGGCCGAGTTGGAGCCGTAGCCGGTCGACGTCATCGACTTCTTCAGGTTGATTTTGGGAGCGTTATTTTTGGGAACATCGTACAAGTCATCTAAGGCATGTTCCAGACTCTTACTACGCTTGATGTCCTTGACCCCGGGCGAGGGTTTGCAGTCAAATGAAGACTGAGAGGACTTCAGACCATCTGATGAATGTCTGGGTGTGGAAGACGATGGACGAGATTTGACGGGACTGTCGTAAAAACCCAGACCTGAATCTGTGGATAGCTGTTTGCGAGACTTCTCTCCGTCCTGTAAAGATGGTGGCACGTCGTAAGTTTCTGCCGGGAGGTCCATAGAGGAGCGGGCGGAGTCAGGAAGACTGGCAGAGTGGGAGAGCTGGGCGCTGCTGACGCCTGATGTGTTGGACAGGAGCGACTCGCTAGAGCACGCAGAGTGCAGGCTCATCTGAGAGGCTGGGTTGGCCTGGGACAGTGTGTGTGTCCGCGTGGGCGGAGTGTCGTAGGTTGCTTCCCCTGCCTCCAGCTGCTCGCTCGAGATAGCGGGCGACAGTGTGTCGTAGATCGGAGGTCCTTCTTCCGACAGGATTCTCTCCAGAGAAGACCGGTTACTCCCGGGCGGCGTCTCGTAGCAGTTCTCGCTGCAGTGCGAACCACTCCGTCTCCTCACTACGGTGGGCAGGCTCATGTTGCTGGCGCTGTGCTGCTGACTCAGGGACAGCTGACTCCCCGAACCGGCACCAGTCAGTAGGTTTGAACCCCCAGATTCTCGTGAGGCAGACGAGCGGTTGCTGTGTGGCGGAGTCCTCTCGCTAGAAGCGCGTTTGCTACTAGGGGGAGTGTCATAGAGGCCCCCAGCAGTCTCCGCCGAGCCACGTTTGCTGCTAGGGGGCGTGTCGTAGAGATCATCACCCAGTGAGGCAGCGCGAGAACCGCCGGAACTACGTAGTGAGTCACGTGACGGCCGCCGAGAGCTCAGGGCCCCGCCCCCACCACTGTCCACCGAGCCTCGGTTGACGGGCGGCACGTCATAGTCCTGCTGGCCCCGGCTGGGCTGGTCGTAGAGTTCCATCCCGCTCTGGGGAAGACACCAGGAGACAAGACCGTTACACACAAGATGAGGTAAGACAAAATATTAAAGTTTACTGACCCACGAAGGGAATTGTGGAGACTAAATCAATATTGGATGGAGAATGAATAAAGAGTGAAAG